TGGTTAAATTGTAAAACACATCAAATTTCCATGCACTTGCCATGCGCTCGTACTCCATACAAGCATCCAATCGATGCTGGTGCTGTCTGAAAATTTGCAATACTTCGCACTGGCGCGCAACCAATACTTCGCAACAATGATTTATTAAAAACATATCAAATGCTTTAACGGCGAACAGCATTAATGACATAACGACAAACACGTGCTTGGTCGACCATTTTGGCAAAGTGATAAATGCTATGTAAAAGGCGGTTGAATTGCTGAGGAAAAAGCTCACCAGTAGTGAAGCAATATGGAGGCGATATAAATTATTTAGTTGTACAACAATCGCCTGCAGCTGCTCGTGTACGTGCAACACGGTTCGCAATTCCGACAGCCAAGTATCCCGCGCGGCCACTGATACACCCTGCCCTGCCACACTTAGCCGCCAGTGGAGCCGTCGTCGCAGGTAAGTGTTCACCACGTCATAGCACCTGCTGATATGTAACTGCATTAAGAAGAATGTAAATATAGTTGATTGCAGATAATTTGAAATGATGAAATAGTAAAAATTCAGCAAATAATCGGTCCAAGTTATCTGACGCTTTTCATATATGGTCGCAAATCCCAGCATAATTGAGAAATTCTGAAAGCAGAGAGTGAAAAGTTTGGCGTAGAATAGGCGATTGTAGCTATGGCTCGCCTCCTCTGCCCAGTTGTCGAGGTAGGTGCGCTCCAGCCGTTGCAAATGCTGCACGACCCCGTAGAACCGCTTATCGTGCCGGTGGCGCATAGTGAACGTGTAGAGAATGACGATCATCTGTATTTGGACATTGAAGTTCCCTATGATACGCAGCAGTGGTTTTTCTACCATAGCATCCAGATAACGTATGCCCTTCAGATAGAAGAAGGGCGATCCCAGCAACAGCAACCCATTCGTAAAGAAACTATAGCAGCGGAGCCAACGCGGTGAGAGCCAACGCTTTTGGTGAGAGTCGAAGTACAGCGAGGAAAAGCCAGTGGCCAGGACGTAGTAGTACCACAAACGAAAAACAATACTCCTAACGTTGGCCATAGCAGCAGCTCCATCCGGTTGTTGAATGCACAAAGAACATGACCGATGACTAATAGTGGCTTCAATGAAATTAACAGTTGACCGCGTGACTGCCCGTCCGTGGCCTTTATTTGCTAACTGAATGCTTGTGAAATATCAATTAAAAGGAAACCTACTTAATTAAGTAAAAAATCATTAATATTCAGATAAGCCATCATCGGCACTTTTCAATTAGTTTAAACGACTTGCCGCAACATAGGGAATTGGGGATTTCAGTAATGCAATAAGTTACATAACAGCCAGAGTGCTTGGACTTCTGTTACGGAACTGGGCTTTTTGTCCTTTACGAAATAAGTTTGTTGACTAAAAATCGATGGGCGACTGAATACGAAGCGCCAACTTTCGCGACATTGCCAAACATACATATATACACATACTAAATAAATACCCATTCTGAGTTCAAGTGAAATTTTTATTCGAATTCAAAACCATATGGAACTGCACCAGAGTAAGGCTGTTGTAGGCAGTTTGCTGCATGACCTCCATCCAAGTTTGCTTATTTATCAAAATCAGTCCACACAAGTCCAAGCGAAAGTCGTTATTATGAATGCGTAGCAAAAATTTTTCAATCTGAAAATTCAGAATAACGGCATAAGCTACTTATATATGTATGTGTTTATCAGCTCAAATTCCAACATACCATTTGCTTCAAAGACCTATACTGTGAGTTCATTTCGCAGGTCCTTCTCAGCTTGTCCACACATGCATAATATGTGTTTACCGTTAAGTCACATATCAAGAAAATCATGTACATATCGGAAGTCATTGAAAGACAGCTAATAGTCCCCAGAACTAGTAGAAACGTTTCGGCTCTGTGATCGAATGTGAATATGGCGCCATAGTAGAGTTGCAACATGATTGTCGAGACTCTATCCACCAGCACAGCGAGCAAGATGAATCGATAATTCAAATTGACCATCCGCGCCAGTTCGGCCAGCTGCCAGTGCATCTCTAATATGCGTTGTACGTGCAATACCAGCATTCTTAAACGCCAGTGCTTTCCATGCCGCAGTGCGTTTCGTATTTCCTCCATCAAATATCCGATGTGCCACTGCCCATATTTCAGGCCATAGCAAATGGACCACAGAAAGAAAAAGTAGTTGAATATTATTACCTGCAGTATGCTCATCGTCTGTAATGTCATCAGACAAACTAAATATGACATCCAAGTCCACTCGCCTATCTCGGATGCCAAAAACTCCATTACAAATACAAACAGCAGCGTGTGTACCACGAAAATTTTCACGTAGAGCAGTCGGCGTATGCTGCGCTCAATGACAGCCACATGTGGCATATGACTGAGGTATGCCTGCTTAAGACTGATGTACTTATTTAATACTTTGGAGTTTATGAGATCTAGTTTAGGGCGATTCACGATGGCGTAGACTACCGTCAGAATACGTATACCCAGCGAAACGTAAGTGGTGTAAATCATGATGGGGTTCCACTGTACCGCTGCTGTTCGCCTTATGACTTGCCAAACCACAAAAGGCAAGGACGCGATTGTAAATATATTGGATACCACGGCGATAACTTGCATCCAAGGTCTTTGCATATATTTGCCTGTTTTTGCGTCGTAGCCAAACGACGTCATGCCTAAGCCAAGGGCGATGTAACTGTGGTAGCGCTGGGTGATTTCAATCCGCATGCTCTGAAACCGATAAGTTGTTGTATCAGGTCCGCGACACCTTTCCGATGCTTTTCCCTGAATAGTAAAAGTGCACTCAGCAAGCACTCTAAACTCGTGAATACGACAAACTAGACATAGTATGTATGTAAGTACATATGTATGTAACTCTAATACATATCCGGCTAATTAATGAACCGAGCCATTCCGATCATGTTGATAAGATGTTAAGTACCATCGAATTGATAAACGTAATCAAGTAGATACCCTGCAAGAAATTGAATCAGTTTGAAAGTAATTGAT